AAGTAAAAGTTAATTTTAGATTAGTTATATTTAACACGTTGATACTACTACAATATATAAAGTATATAGAACATAGTGAACACCAGAAGCAAGACAAATTATATATAATACTAGCCATTTACTAATATGTATTAATGACTAGGAAATCAAATCAAGACTGCTAAATTATCCAACCCTGCATGTATCGTCCCGGCAACTTACAGGGATCATCGACTGCCCCCACACATCGCTTTCCAGTGTGCTGTCCTCACTCACATACTTTTCGGAAAAAGTTCCCATAAGGTCACCCATCCCAACTTATTCCAGGCTAAACACGCTTAACCATGGAGTTCTTATGGGTTAGGCTACCGAAAAGCAAATGCATTTGGTGATATGAGTAGCCAAATCAATCCCTTTAAGCTATCTTCAACTGTATAGTCTCGTACCTACACAGTCTTTAGATCCCTCTCATTCCGGTGTATGTTCGATTCATCCATGTGTCCTTTCCACTCGAAGCTGCTAGGAGCTGTTCCTTGTTTGTATCTCCTGCACCTCATGTCTCTTGCACCGGCGATCACTCCCCGCCCTTGTCAGTACCCGGGTGTCACACTGCATGGTGGCCAAAATAGATGATTGCACTTTCAAAAGCAAATGTCAGCTTTTTCAACAATATGTTCTTCATAGTGATAGATAATTGAACTTAAAACTATAAGTTTAGTTTCTTTTATATTAAAGAATTTGGTATTACTCAAAAGTTAATAGAAAATAAAACTTATATACATCTTTTATACCTTTTAGAATAAAAAAGCGATGAAACAACGCATCGAATAGTAGAGGAAAAAATTATTCAACTCTTATTTCTTAGTCTCAATTAAATACTTATTCAAATACTATGAAAGGTCTCGTATTATTTAAAAATGAATATAAAAGAATTAAAAGCGAAGGACCATCTATTTATTAAATGATACATTAAATATACTGATCCTATCCATGTGACATTAACGCTTGGACTAACATTCTAAACTTATTGGATTTTTTTAAAACTATGACTTGAAGGTTGCGTTATATCTTCTCCAAACTTTCTTTCCAAGTAATCTTCACGTATTTAAATATTCAATCCGTCGACTATACGTTACTCGCTTTCATAAAGAAACAACCATTTATAGTTTTCTCAGCTTTTGACTTTGTGAATGTTCTGGGAAATTCTTCAATGCCTTCTTGGCTCTGTTCAGATTGTTTATATACGTAGAAGTTGAGACACAGACAGTTACAAACCAGGCAGTTCAAAGATCTATGTAAGTATTTGTTCATGTTTTTTCTTTTTTTCATTTTGATTACTTATGTTTCATGCTTTATTTATTTATCTTGTTCATTTTTCCGTTTCCTTTTGCCAGTTATCAGTACTATAACCACCACCACTTTGAGATCATATATACACGGTTTTGGATTTGATTTAATCTAAGCAAAAAGCTTTACTTAGAGGTAAGTTTTCCGAGAATTTACTTAATCTATTATATTAGATTCTAATGATAAGACTACGAGCTATATATAGTCTATAGTTCTCTCTCCCCTAATTCTTTTTAGGAGCTATATAGTCTATAGTTGTCGTTTTCCTTTAATTTCCATATTTTCTTTTAACTTTTCTTATATTTTTCTTTGTTCTTTTTTTTTTCTTTATTACTAGACAAGATAACATCAGATCATATCTGGTTTGATTGTGGTGCAAAATTAATCGATAATAAAAACATTTCTTATATGATTTTTTTGAATAATCAAATTTTATATAATATGTTTTATTATTTACCTATACTTAATACATAAAGATATATTTATCGATGAATTTGTTTTAATTTAATTCTAAAATATATATCTTTTTTTTTCATTTTTCTCTCCAAACAAAACGAGATGAAAGTAAAGTATAAACTTATAAATATGGTAGATATAGAATAATAAATTTTAAATTATATAATCTAAATTTGTATAAAAACAAATGAGGTGACACACGTCACCTTATGCTTCACTTTAAACCCAAATTTTGTATCAAAGTTCTTTTATTATTGAGTGTTAAAGGTTACTATAGAAAGTGTCTATATTCATTTATATTTTGTCATATCTTACAAATAAAAATCTTTTTTCTTCTGATTCGATAAATTTTAATTTGGCCATGTTCTCTTCCATTATAACATTATACAGATATTCAAATACAAACACTTGGAAAGCAAAAATGCAGTGTCTTATTGCATTAGCGACAGGAACACTGACAAA